ATGAAGGCTGGAACCAAAAAATGGCCGGGCATTGTGTTGGGTGCCTGTAGTCCCAGCTACTTAGGAGGCAGGGGCAAGAGATTCACTTGAGTCCAGGAGTTGGAGATTGCTGTGAGCTGTGATGCCATAGCACTCTACCCAGGGCAACAGCTTAAGACTCTGTCTCAAAAAAAAAAAAAAAAAAAAGAGAGAGATTCACTTGAGTCCAGGAGTTGGAGGTTGCTGTGAGCTGTGATGGCACAGCACTCTACCCAGGGCAACGGCTTGAGGCTCTGTCTCAAAAATAAATAAATAAATAAATAAAAATAAAGGAGTGCCTTATGTAAATGCAGTATTTATGTGTCCTTGGAGGTTATTTATTGATCATCCTAGATGACTCTCTCATTTATCATTATTTTATTTTATTATTTATGTATTTATTTTAAGACAGACTCTCACTTTGTCACCTGGGGTAGAGTGCTATGGCATCATAACTCACAGCAACGTCTAACTCTTTGGCTCGGGCGACCCTCTGGCGACCCTCTGGCCTCAGCCTCTGCATTTGTATGAGAATATCCTCCCCAAAGCAGTCCCGAGGCTGTGGTGTGGGACTACAGGCATCCGCCACAGTTTTTCTATTCTTTTAGTAGATACAGGGTCTTGCCCTTGCTCAGGCAGTCCTCCTGCCTCTCAAAGTTCTAGGCCTCTCATCATTTGAGCTTCAGAACTGCCAAATCCAACAAAAACTCTCTCAAACTATCATTAAAATAAGATCACCCATTTTCCAGTAAGTCATAAACCTGGATGAAAATCTGCATTGTAGCCTGGGTGCAGTGGCTTATGCCTGTAATCCTAGCACTTCAGGAGGCCATGACAGGCAGATTGCTTGGGCTCAGTCTGAGCAAGAATGAAACCCTGTCTCTACTAAATATAGAAAAATTAGCCAGCTGTTGTGATGGTTGCCTTTAGTCCCAGCTACAGCTACTCAGGAGGCTGAAGCAGGAGGATCGCTTGAGCCCAGGAGTTTGAGGTTGCTGTGAGCTATGACACTACAACACTCTACCCAGGGCAACAGAGTGAGACACACACACACACACACACACACACAGTCTGCATTATATCCTTAGTCAATTAATTAATTAAACATATGTCTCAGTTTACTCATTAGTAAAATAGAGATAATTATACAACCTGCATATTGCAGTACTGTGATAAAATGAAATAGTGGCTCAATTGCTCCTGTGTGCACAGCACAGCACGGTGACAGACACCAAGCCGTTGCTGTGACAGACACCAAGCCGTTGCTGTGGCTTTCCCCCTCTGTGATTTGATTCTCAGTCTCAATTTTATTTTTGGAATTGTATGATTTGTTATTTAAACCTTTGATGTTTGGGTTTTAATGATTTAAACTATTTGCAAATTATTAAATTAATTCACTTTTAATTTCTCAGTGTCCTTAATGCAATTATTTTTATTTTGTTCAGATGGCATAGAGCTGTGTCTACCAACTTAGTAAAACAAAATGTATTGATCCCCAAGGAGGAATCATCCAGTGATAGTGACATGGGGCTTCATCAAAGCCAGCAAAATCAGAAAAAAACATTGATGAAGAGAATGAAGACTACTTTGGGGAGGATGTTCCCATACAAATGCAGATACAAGTCAGCAAGTGCCAGCAAAGAGGGCTCCACTTACCACAGAGAAGCCCTCCTTTCAAATACACAGAGCCTTCTTCCTCGGATTGTCAAGGAGCTTCCATCTCCCAAGTTATTTACCAAACCCAAAATGAGAAAGCTCTCAGAGAATGGTAATCAAAGCCAATTTATCATTTTGTTGAGGCTGAGAGGGCTGAAATTAAGATGAATTTTCTTGCTACCCAAAGTACAGCATCTAGAGAAACTTGTCTGAAATGCAGAATTTCAGGCCTCACCCAGGTCTCCTAAGTCAGATTCTGCACATTAGGAAGATCTTCTGTCGACTCAGGTGCCTAACTTTTGAGGAACGCAGGATTAGACTATCTTTGAGCTTCTCTAGGTCTAATTAATTAATCAGTGGTCTAGTCAGGCTAAAGTCACTTTTAATTTAAATATACATGCGAACATGTGTATGTGCATAGATATATGTGCATACATATGTATTAGAAAATAAACTAAACATAATTTTTTTGTCTTGTTTCTGGAAAAAGTATTGATGCAGACTTTCATATGGCTACCTTGAACAGCAGAGGGCGTAGTAAGAATTAAAGAAGTAAAATTTATGGTTGGTAAGTCACAAAGGATATTTGATTTTATTGCATCGACTTTCTATAGACTGTTGGAAGAATGAGCATTTGAACTGTGAACTTTAAGAATTTTCTGCAATATAGAAATGCCGTTGTTCTAGATCCTCATATGAGGACCTCATACGATACCACCAGTGTCTGCATTCTCCTTGGTAGTTTTTTTTTTTTTTAATTAATAGAGTTCACTTTTTTAGAGCAGTTTATGTTTACAGAAAAAATGAGCAGAAAATGCAGAGTTCCCACCTACATCTCTCCCCTCCCCACCCCACAGTTTCCATCACTGTTAATGTCTCCCCTTAGTGTGGTGCATTTGCTACAATCAATGAGCCAATATTGATAATGTTATTACTACCTAAAGCCCATAGTTTGCTTTAGGGTTTTCTCTTTACATTTTACAGTTTTATAGGATTTGGCAAATGTATAATGTCACGTCATGCATTCACCATTACAGTATCGTACAGGATGAATGACTTCACTGCCCTAAATATCCTCTGTATCTTTTTATGTCCTTGTTAGCAAGCACAGCATCAGAAAACATATACAGTCCTTATGTTACATGCACATATATACACAACTTCCCATTTCACACAGCGGCCAGCCTATAAACCTGATGACTGCTTTTCCCACGGGTGGCAGGAGGCTCCAAATTACTGATGGTTTCCAGCCAACTGGTTGTCCTTTCATTCTCTCTTCTGGAAATTCTCTCTTCTGGAAAAAACCTAATACAATACAAGCCTCTGAGCGTCTAGCAATTACTTGGTATAGATTGATCTATATATTTCTGTTGAAGGTAACAAAGACGTTATACTTCCATAATGCTAGGGTTGGGGAAATAGCCCAGCAGAGAGCAGTGGACCAAATTTCTGGTCCTAATCTGTGCATGGATTTATTTTCATCTTAGTTGGAATAACAAGTCTCTCAACTGAGATTTCTCCAGAAAACACACACATCCTTTAGGATTTAGCTTAAACATCTGTCTTTGCTGGGGCCCCCAAAACAGTTGTTCTTTTCTGTGGACCTCTGTATCATTTTCTAAATCTGTTTAACAAACAGTTACTAAGTACTTATACTTAGGGATGTTAGGGATAAAGTAGTCCTGCCCTCATGGAGTTGTGGCAGAGACTTTCAAACATTATGCACATAATTATTTCTGATGCAAAAGTAGAAGGAGAAAATGTTATAGAAACAAATCATGGGTGCTCTAATTTTAGAGGAAAGGGCTCAGGAAAGGCCTATCCGGGGAAGGGGCAACCAGATTGAGATTTGAAAGATGGCCGAGAGTTAGACAAGGAAAGCATGGGAGAACCATTTTTCAGGAAGAAGAGAGAGTCTGTTCAAGTCCCAATATCAACAGAGCACCTGGCAGAGATAAGAAATGAAAGAAATCCAGGGGAGGTTGGAGCAGAGAGATCAGGGAGAGGACAGGTGAATGAGACTGTAAGAGTGTCATAGGTCACGTTAAGAATTATTAACTTTCGGCTCGGCGCCTATAGCTCAACCGGCTAAGGCGCCAGCCACGTACACCTAAGGTGGCGGGTTCGAATCCCCAGCCCGGACCTGCCAAACAACAATGATGGCTGCAACCAAAAAATAGCCGGGCGTTGTGGCGGGCGCCTGTGGTCCCAGCTACTTGGGAGGCAGAGGCAGGAGACTCGCTTGAGCCCAGGAGTTGGAGGTTGCTATGAGCTGTAATGCCACGGCACTCTACCCAGGGGGACAGCTTGAGGCTCTGTCTAAAAAAAAAAAAAAAAAGAATTATTAACTTTCTCCTAAGGATGATTAGAAGTCACTGAATACTTTCAAGCTAGAGATTTATATAACCTGATTTACATTTTTAAAAGAGAGCTGTGGCTACAGAGTAGGGACTGGATTGAGTAGAGAAAGGTAAGAGCAGACTTAAGGAGATAAACAGCCTCATACATTCAGGCAAGGGATGATGTTAGCTTGGGCTTCTTCTGGCAGTGGGGATGGAGCGATAAAGGGTGAAATAAACCTAGGTAGAAATTGTAAGACGTGGGGAAGAGCTGGACAGCAGTGGGTGGGGGAGAAGGAAGAGTTTCTGGCTTGAGCACCTGCTTTGAAGGTGGAGACACCACTGGCTCAGATTAGGAGGAAATGGTTTGAAAAGGAAGTCATGAGTTCTTATGAAACTTGCTGATTTGACGTCCTTGCCAAAAAGCCAAGTGGAGGTGTCAAGTTGGCTACTGTGTTCACTGAAGTCTGAGGCTCTCACAGAAGCCTTTATCAAGGGACCTTACATGGGACAAGGTGATTTTACTTACTTTTTAATTTATTTTTCTTTTGTAACCCCAGCTAATGACTGAAGGACAAGGTGATTGTAGGTGCTGCACACAGTGTGAAGTGACACTGAGCACACAGCAAACTGCAAACACTTTTTCCCTAATGCCCTATCATCCTTTTGGTTATATAAAGGATAATATTTCATTTCATGTACCAACTTCCTTCTTTAAGAAAGGGAGAGTAACCTAAAGTTTGGTTATTGCAGAAAATAACATAGTTTTGTTTTTAGCATATTAATTCTAATGCCTAACTATGATTCTGATTTCCAGTTTATGATAGAGTTTTAAAGTTCCCTTTGTAAATTTACTGAGTTAAGCATTGAATTGAAATAAAAAAAATATTAAGGAATCCAAAGGTCACATGGCTCCTGGATATGGGAAAAACCAATAAGATGGTATGTGAACCACTGAGCCTTGAGCCACATTGCCGAGAGAATAGATTTTTTTTTTTTTAAGACAGAGCCTCAAGCTATTCCCCTGGGTAGAGTGCTGTGGCATCACCGCTCACAGCAACCTCCAACTCCTGAGCTCAAGCGAGTCTCCTGCCTCTGCCTCCCAAGTAGCTGGGACAACAGATGCCCACCACAACGCCTGGTTATTTTTTGGTTACAGCCATCATTGTTGTTTGGCGGGCCTGGGCTGGATTCAAATCCACCACCTTAGGTGTATGTGGCTGGGCCAAGAGAATAGATTTAAACTTCCCTTCCATCAACAACAAATACTCAAGGGAAAGCCTTGCTCATTAGAGGGTTACTTTTCTAACTCCACAATGCTTAAAGAAAAAAGTGATGTAAGGCAAAACTTAGGTCTGAAAGAAAGAGAAGTATCTACGTTGTCCAGACAGGATGGTACCCACTGAGGTCATGACCATGACAAAACACAAATGTGTGTAAGGAAAAAGCATAAGATTAGGAAAAGCAAATCCATTTCCAGAATTTTAGCCTCAAGGAAAAAAAACTGCTGAGAAAGCATGCAATGCTGTCTTTTCAGAATACTGTACTTTTCTTTAATAGGAAGAGTATGTGGCTGGGTGTGATGGCTCACTCCCATAACCCTAGACTCTAGGACACCAAGGACGGAGGATCAGTTTGAGATCAGCCTGAGCAAGAGGAAAACCCCATGTTGGCTGGGCACAGTGGCTTATGACTATAATCTTAGCACTGTGGGAGACCGAGGCAGGTGGATCACCCTGAGCTCACTGGTTTGAGACTGGCCTGAGCAAGAGTGAGACCCCATCTCTAAAAAAAATAGTTGGATGTTGTGGCGGGTGTCTGCAGTCCTAGCTACTCGGGAGGCTGAGGCAAGAGAATAGATTGAGCCCAGGAGTTTGAGGTTGCTGTGAGCTATGACATCACAGCATTCCACCTAGGGTGACAAAAAAAAAAAAAGGAAAATGGAAGGGAAGGGAATGGAGGGGAGGGAAGGGAAGGGAAGGGAAGGGAAGGGAAGGGGAGGGGAGGGGAGGAGAAGGGAAAAAGAAAGAAATTTAGCCAGGCATAGTGCAGGCACCTGTAGTCTCAGCTACTTGGGAGGGGAGCCTGAGGCAGTATTGCTTGAGCCCAAGAGTTTGATGTTGCTATGAGCAATGACACTACAGTGCTCTACCCAGAGCAAAAGAGTAAGACTCTGTCTTAAAAAAAAAACTTTATAACTGATCCTTACAAGTTCTTTTTTTCCTCCTTCCTTTTTATAAGCGACTATACAACTTGATGTTGTAGAGGCAGAGACAGAGGAGATAACCCAAGGAAATACACTCCTCCGGGCCAGGAGAACTACCAAGCGGTTATCCGTGACATCTCTTCCTTCAGGACTGCAAAAGGTAAAACTCTAAAACAAACTTGCTTCTGAAGACACAGAAACGCAATGTTTAGAGATTTTGCAAACAACAAGTTCTCTGCTACCATCAATCCCCCACAATAAACACTTAAAATCTGCTACTTGTCTCCTTTTCAAGATTTGAAGCATAGTTACTTCTGAGCTCAAACTGTTCAGCTTCTACTACAGTCTGAGCAAGAGTAGAGCTTGGAGCTTCATAGCGACTTTCTCAGCTGTTCAAATGTCAAGTTACTGTATTACCAGTCTGGCCTATGTGCACTGCCATGTAGCGAGGATTCCACTGCCAGGGGTCCTCAAACTTTTTAAACGGGGCCAGTTCACTGTCCCTCAGACTGTTGGAGGGCTGAACTGTGGGCCCCGGGATGAGTTGGCTGCTAAGCAGGACAGGCAGCAGTGGCAAAAACACCCGGTGGGCTGGATAAATGTCCTAGGCAGGCCACATGTGGCCCACGGGCCATAGTTTGAGGACATCTGCACTAGACAGTCAATTGCTATCTGATAGAACTTTTTTATGAGGATGCAAACATACATTTTCCAAAAGAGTAGCCATTAACCATCTGTGCATTTGAGACTTTGAAAAGTGGCTAATGCAATTGAAGAATTTACTTTTGATTAAAATTAAAATTAAAATGTAAATGATGACTTAGGACTTTCCAAACCAAAGCCTGTACTTATTTGTAGGAATATGTGCTTGAGCTTAAATTGCCCAGACTTTTTTTTTTTTTTT